GTTGAGAAACCGTTATCTCCGTTGAATTTTGCTACCTCGTACTTTACTCCGGATATTTTTTTTTTCCCCGAGTATAGTACTACCAACAGTGAATAGTACTTCTGTGAGCGAGCAGAACCTGCGCTCTGATACCAATTGTTGGGAATAAACCCCTACAAAAATAATATTCACGGTAATAAAAGCGGAATAATAACGTAGCATCGAGATACGGTAAATAACAAGAATAAAAGAGTGACAACGACACCAAGATTTTTACGTGGAAAACCCTTTTGAATAAGGGAAAAACCACTGCCCCGAGATGAGCAACTGATATCACTATAGTAAGGAATTTTACACTTTGAAGGTCCGAGTAAAATACTCAAAAGAAATAATCCTCTTTTGATATTCCCACCTCACTACAATATCGCTCACTCTCTATTTTTCTCACATACTATTTTCTTATACTGTGAAACCTCACTCTTTTTTTCTAACTCTCAGATATATTTTTCCTCTGAGATTGGTGTATAAAATGAGAGTTGAAGCTCTTCTTATATAGAGGGGATGGCTGCCCCAATTAACCAATCGGAAGATTGGATCTCACTTTACAACTTGCACTATGCAATTTGCAGTGCAAATTGGTTGCCAACTCTAAAACTTGCTCTTGCCATCGTTAGATTCCCTTTCTTTTCTTTTTTCTATTAATGGGTGTGGACCCCATCATTTTTACATGTCATTGATTCATAGGCAAAATACATAAGTTACCACCTGAACTAAGGACCAAATTCCTGTTACACACTTTCTGACGGTGAAAATCATCTTACACACTTAACCTTTCAAAAGTGTGTCTAGGACACATCATTTTTGTCAGATGGCATGCGCGTGTTTAACTAAAACATTGAGCGCGTAAAACCTCCAAATTTTTATTCAGATCTTTAATTAAATGCCATGTGTCATAATATTTTTTCTTTTTCCTTATATCTTTTCTTAATCTGATAAAAAGAAATCAAAAAAGGGGAAACCGGATCTGGCTTTCTTGTGCCTNCCCCCCAACCCACAATTATTTTTCATTTCTTCCTCAAATCACCTTCCGGCAAACTCTCGCTACAGCAAATTAAAGGCAATTAAAAGTGGGTTTTGCGTTTGAAGTTATAATCCAGCTTGATATTATGTTTCTTCTCTTTTCTTCCCATGTATAAAAATAATCATAACAAACATTTAAAGAATTTTCCTCTTCAATTGCTTTTGGATTTCTCTTGTTTTCAAACAAAGGTTTCTTTTTTGAATGGGTGTGGAGAAGGAGGGCTGTGGTATTTGTTGCTTTGTTTTGAAAGTTAATGGTGATGGTAGCTGCTACGGCGTTGGTGGAAGCTATGGCGGTGACAACAGTGATAAGGTGGTGATAATGGAGACAGTTGTATTTGTTCTTAGTATCTACAGCACATCTCAAGAATTCTAGTTCTTCACATTTTCTTCAGCTTTTCTATTTTGAATCTCAAAAATTTCAGGAAATAAGAATGCACCAGAAGCTAGGAGCTGACCACTATTATATAAAAATAAAAGGGCAGTTGACTTGGGCTTTTAAGTTTTGTTGATTTTTTCTTGTGGTCGGCGGCAGGGGATACTTTGCCGGAGAAGAGAAAGAGATGAGAGGGAGAAGATGGTTAAAGGGTGTAGTTGTAAATTTAAGTATTTTATTCTTAAAAAATAGTAATGACACGTGTTACGATTTTATTGGTGCGTGACGTTACACATGTTTTACAAAATTGGTCAAGAAAAAAATGGTGTATTAGATACGCTTTTGAAAGGTTGAGTGTGTAAGATGATTTTTGCCGTCAGAAAGTTCGTAAGGGGGATTTGGTCCATAGTTTAGGTGGTAACTTATGTATTTTGCATTGATTCATAGGATGATGTCACCTCAGCCACAAAGTTTAAGTCTCTTTCAGAGAATGCTTCAACTATCATATCTTCCTTCCATAAAAAGGTATATGACTTTATCTGTTGAAAGCATTGGTTTACTAAAGAAGTTAACATCTTATTCATTGTTTAGTTTATGCCTCATGGAACTTAAGATGTTATGTATTGCTAGACTTCTCAAGACAAGTCCAATTCAGATAGCTCTAGAGCCTTGATATCATCAGCAGAAAACGTTAGTACACTTTCATTTTGTGAATGCATTTTTGTTCCTTATATATATTTCTGTTTTAATGGCTATGCGTGGGCTTGATCAACTTATTGGTTGCAGGATATCCCAAATGCTTTCAAGGAAACAATCTCTATTCATAAAATGGAAAAGGTGAGGCAAATTAGTTATTTAATTAAACATTTTTGACTGATGCACTTTAATTAATTGGTGTTATCTGTGTAATGATATTAACCTTTGCATCTCAGGATGCCTCTCCACCAAATATAGCAAAGGATTTAAAAGTTACTCCTGAAGTTCATTGTGATGTCAAAGAAATACTTTCTTTTGCAGATGATGGTAGGTTGTGTTACAAGTTGGTTATTGTGTTAAATTTGAACTTTTACTCTTTTTTTTCTTTTTCTCACAGTGCTATAAACTCGTAGGTGTTGTGGATACCGAGAAGAAAAGTGGAGATATGAACATAGACAAAGTAGCATCACCACCACTAAGTGAAAGACTTAGAGAAATAACAAATAATTTACGGTTGTTGGAGTCTTCAACTTCTTTGCATATGTTGATGCCAAAGCAGTTGGACACATCTCAAGGAAGCCTTGAAAGTTCTGGTGACATTATAGAACCCAAAACCCCAAAAGCTGAAACTGATATGAGAACCGGTGACAAATTGGAGATTGCCATGTATACTAGTCCTTGGGAAAGATTTCATACGCGCAGTTCTGGAGTAAAGGTTTAATTGATTTACTTTTGTGAGTAGTTCTTTAGCATTTTTTTGTCTGATGCTACTTCAACTTATTCACTCTCCTTTTTCATTGTGCAGAATTGTCTTGTCCAAGAATATCTGAATTTATTAAACACTGCAAGCAAGTAAGTGAATGATTCCCCTATATAACCGGTTCTCCTCTTTTCATATAGTTCTTTTCCTTCTGATATTAATTGTCAATTTATCGGTGACTAAGATTTTCCTTCTCATCATATTTTTATTCCCTTCCAAAATCCAAGACAACTAACTTGATGATATTACTTCTCAAGCTATTTTCCCTGTCCAGCTTTCACTTTTTTTGCAACATCCTTTTTTCCAGTTGTAAAGCATTAGCTAAGTGGTGAAAATTGCAAGTTTGTAAAAGAAGCAACCCTCATATTATGCGATCTTAAGTAGCACAACACAAGTGAAGAAGCAACCGTGATATTTACTTCTCAACCTATGTTACACCGTCCAGCTTGCACCTTTATTGCAACATCATATTTTTTAGTTGTAAAGCATTAGCTAAAGCGGTGAAAACTGCAAGTTCTAAAGTAGCAACCTTAATGTTATGTTATCTTAAGCAGCAAACTGCAAGGTTTCACAGTTCCTTCTTTTGGATTATGAGGGAATGACTCTAGCCAGAACTGGTCTTGTAAACCGCGCTTTGATGCTAAGACCGAGGCCCCCAAGAGTAAAAAGGGGTGGTTGTTATTTAAACGGGTTTCAGTATATTTGTTTATTCTTGTGGTGTGTGCATTGGCTAATATTTCTTATAACATTCATCTCTCTCATTTGTGATTACAGAGAAGATTTAACAAGGATCCAGGTAAGATCACATGTCAATACTATTCTTTTTCAAGCCTATCATTGCGTATAATAGTTTATATGTCAATATCATATTTCGCGTAGGGCATCGGAGAAAAGAGAGCAACTTACATTCTTGAACTACGTGAAGAATCTTCAGAACCCTTTAAGAGTGTAAGGACCTTGGACATAATGGTTTTGCAACTGGAAAAATGAAAAAGATATAGTGATTGTACTTAAATTTATTGATCATTTTGTTTACTTTTGTTCAGCTTGAAGATTTGAAAGAAGTTGGTCTCTCGGAAAAGGAGGTACTTTTACTAATCTTTCAATTTTTCTTGATGTCCAATGTGTTGCTAATTTTGTAAACTTAACGGTCATTACTGCCATATACTTTAATTCTCTTGAGCGCCATAGCCTAAGAAGAAAAAGTCGAATATATGTGGGAAAAAAATAGTGTTACAAGTAAACTTGCCAAAGTCTTGTATGGTTGTTTTGATCTGGTATATGCGTGTTCTGAATTTGACGTTAATTTTCTCCATGCACTTCGCCCCTGTCAGAAAAGGAAAATAATAAAAAGAAAAAGCAAACAAGAAAGACATCTTGAGTTGAGGAAAACAAGTTAAAAGAACACGAAGAAGTAAAAATTTCACTTGATTTTTCAAGAACTTATTAAGTATGTTGGGATGAGTTATAGGACCTTCAAGTATTCACTTGATTACTAGTAACTTTGTCTATGGGAGATGAACTATTATTCAAGTAATTTATGCTCTTATTCTCTTGTTTTCTGTTTATGTATCTTTACAGATAAATGGCTTGATGAGGAGAATGGCTGGACAACTTTTCTGCTAGAATGACCTTTTAAGAATTGTTTGATGGCAACTAGAAGTTGCCAGCAGTTATATTATGATGATTTTGAATGTAATATGTTTCTTTGCAATTGTTCAAACAAATGGAAAAACATACTACTTTGTGATATGCTATGCTTTTGTGGAAAATATACATAACTAGTCTCATGAGACGACTATCCAAGAACAAGAATAATCCAACTGAAGCTGTTACCTTCACTACTGTTTTGTGTGAAAGTTATCCCAAAAAGGCATCGATAAATCAGCCCATAGAGCATCTGGCTCAGTCGTGATCATTTCTGTACAATGGGCCAAAACAAAGGAAGAGAGAGAAGAATAACAAGCAGAAATTCACGTACAACATCTAAATAAAGACTACTAACTTTTCTTTTTGAAATTAAAACCCAAAAAAAAACTTTAGGCTTGGAGGAGAGTGAGAATCAAATATTAACGGAGTAGTGCTTGCATTTCTGGTAGCATCCTTGTCACGTTTCGTACACCAGTTGTATTATTAGCAGTGCTAAACTTGAGACCTCGCCATGGCCAACACAAACGCCTCAGTCTACGGCGATTTATTCGCTCCCTTTTCTCTACTTCTTCTAATTGTCTTGCTAGCTCCTCAATCTGCTTATGTAGCTCAGTAGCCCTGCTGTCTGCAAGTTGGAGAGAACTCTCAGCTGCCTCCCTAGCAGCGATGGCTGTCGCCACTAGCTCATCTTTCAGCTGCAACTTGCTATTAGAAATACGTAAAGCAGCTCTTGTCTTTTCCAATTCTTGTTTCAGAATATTAACCTGTCGTTAACAAAATTTTAGCATCACTTTTGTCTCAGGTTCACAAAATAAATAAATTGTTTTCACTAATTTTGATGTACAAGTAGCAGCAATTTGGTGTACTAGTCTGGCTTAATAGGCCAATTAGAAAAGCAGATTCCGTTTGGTTTTTCCTGCTTTCTTTAGCTTTCTAGCTATTCAGGGCAATTGGTTCTCAAAGGCTCACGTAATTCCAATGGAATAGTTTATAAATTAAGCAATCAAAATGTACACCGTTCTTTATTCATACATTAGATTCCCAAGTACAGACATTGTGAATACGTGAACCCAAAAGGTCTAAACAAAGGTTGGTAAAGTTACAAAGGTGTAAAGAAATGCTACTCAAAGTAATTAAGAAAATTGTTAGCAGAAAGCATATGATAGAAGCTGCACATCAGTAAAATAGAGTATATTGATCAGTGGCAGAGTAATTTTCCTTAGGTGTCTCTTTTTTCTGGGGAAAAGGGAATTTTTAGGATTAGTAATGAATTTGGGAGAGTTCAGGACACAGTTTTTCCTCATATTTCCCAAACATATGCTAGCACAGAAGAGAAGCACCAGTACTCCAAAATGAACCTAAATAATCCCCACGTTCTTCTGGCCTCATAAGGAAAGCAACTTTCCCAGAGTGAGATAGGGCAGTAAGGCACCCCCCACAGCTCAAATTGGCTAGAAACTGTACACTAATTCCTCTCATTCTTTGAAAGACAGTGACTGACTGGATTCATTAATCTTAGCTGAATTATAGCCTGTTTTGCCGAGCTTCTAAAATTAGCTTATTTTGAGAAGTATTTTTCTCAAAAGTACTTTTCAAAAAAGTGTTTTTGGCGAGAAGCAGTTTGTGTTTGACTAATTAATTTGAAAAACACTTTTGAGCAGTAATTAGTGTTTGGCCAAGCTTTTGAAAATTGTTTCTAAGTGTATTTCTCTCAAAAGTACTTTTCAAAAAAGTGTTTTTGGCGAGAAGCAGTTTGTGTTTGACTAATTAATTTGAAAAACACTTTTGAGCAGTAATTAGTGTTTGGCCAAGCTTTTGAAAATTGTTTCTAAGTGTATTTCTCTCAAAAGTGCTTTTGGAGAGAAACTACTTTTTCTGTTTCTCAAAAAATGCTTCTGCTTCTCCTCAAAAGCACTTTTGTTCCATTTAAAAGCTTGGTAAACCCCTCAATTTTTGGCCAAAAGTACTTTTGGCAAGAAAAAATAATTTTGGCAAAAAAAAAAAAGGTTGGCCAAACACGCTATTAGTATGTATTTATAAATATTTGCTGGATCAGTACTATAACCAACTTACTAGTAATTTACGTTACCGGTCGACCACCAAAATAAAATCTAGCAATACAATGCGAGGGCAAAAACAAAGCAAGTAAAAATAAGAAAGCTCGATTGATCGTGCAAACCTACCAGTACTTCATGCTCCTTAATAGATTTCTTTCCAGCTTCCACTTCCATTTCGCAAGCTTCTCTCCATCTAGAGATTTCTTCTTCAGCGTCTTTATTTTCTACCACGAGTGCTTCAACCTGGAAGATGAAACGGGGAAAAAGCATGTAACAGTTGAACATCTTAAGGACTGTTACCTTAGTCAGAAACTAACCTTTTGAGTAAGCAGCATTTCTCTATCTTCCAACTCTTTAATGTATTTCATATTTTCTGCTAGTTTCTGACTTTGTTTGTCTGATAGATTCTGCAGAAACTCCATGCCTGACCTGGCAGTAACTTGATAATTAAACACAAGACTCCAGGTAAAGGATTAAATTAAGGTTAATCTTTCAATCTTCTACCCAGAAAAGGTAATTTTTCAATCATCCATGTTGTCTAACTCTTGCCCCCTCTTATTGGTATGTTCTCTGGTAAGCGCATCAAATAAAAGTAAGCATAGAGCACTTTAAAGCGGGGTCCAATGAAAATATGTTGAAGTCGAAAAGGGAGATAGATAAGTTAACCTTTCCCTTATCAAGTCAGTCAGAAGCGAAAAATAAAAATAAAATCCTGTGTATGTGTGCATGGGAGAAACTTTCTATTCTTATCTTTTATTTTGCATTTTACATCCTGTCAGGCTTCTCAATTGGGACTTCCTATCAAGATTTATCTCCAATCTTCTCTAAGGATCTTCTGTCTATGATACTCCCTAAGTGAGTAGGTTATTGAAGTTGCAAGATACTATAGCTATTCAATGTTTTCTTCCTGGATATGTATCAAGTAACATGTACACAGCTGACTTGACATACGTTTATTTAGGAGTTTGTCAAGCCTTGTGGGAAGATCTTTTAGCAAGTTTGTTTGAATCTTGAGCACATCTGTTGGGGAGGG